TGTTGCAATGGTGAATGGTATTGTTTCCTTAATTTCTCTTCCTGTTTTCTCATTGTTAGTGTATAGGAATGCAAGGGATTTCTGTGTGTTAATTTTATATCCTGCAACTTTACTATATTCATTGACTAGCTCTAGTAATTTTCTGGTAGAGTCTTTAGGGTTTTCTATGTAGAGGATCAAGTCATCTGCAAACAGCAAGAGTTTCACTTCTTCTTTTCCTATCTGGATTCCTTTTACTTCTTTTTCTGCCCTGATTGCTGTGGCCAACACTTCCAAAACTATGTTGAATAGTAGTGGTGACAGTGGGCACCCTTGTCTTGTTCCTGATTTCAGGGGAAATGCTTTCAATCGTTCACCATTGAGGGTAACACTTGCTGTGGGTTTGTCATATATAGCTTTTATTATGTTGAGGTATGTTCCTTCTATTCCTGCTTTCTGGAGAGTTTTAATCATAAAAGGATGTTGAATTTTGTCAAAGGCTTTTTCTGCATCTATTGAAACAATCATATGGTTTTTATCTTTCAATTTTAGCTTCAGATTTTATGTGCAACTGACTATTACTAACAGAAGGCTCAGAGAAGATAACAGAAAAATCTGTTTCCAGGAAAATTTGCTCTTCTCACCAAAACAAAGGAAAATATATTTCCTGTATGTCAGGTCAGTAGGCAGAAATTCCAGAAAAGGTGGATAACTGCTCTTCTTCCCACTTAGGAAAACATTAAAAAGTTCAATTATTTCAAAACATCCTCTCTTCAGAAATTTATCTTGTATTGCATGTCTCCTACATAGAAAAAGGAATGGAAATATTTCAAAGTAGGTGTCATTAAAGCCGGTGAAAAACAAGTTTAAAAAGATATAATGCCAACTATCATAGGGAAAAATTTGTCTACAAAACTTTCTTCTCTCCCAGTTATTGCACTGTACCTGAGCTAGTAATAGAAAATGTAATTACTACTCAAGAAACAACAACAGAGTAGTAGATAATGAATTATAGAGTAATGGACTCCAGTATGAGTTTAAATCTTGATTATTTTAATTATTAGAATACAACTTCAGGTAAGGTCTTTATTACCTCAGTTTCCTTATGCATAAAACAAGATTCATAATAACATAATATATTATTTTGTTGTGAGGATTAAATGACTAAAATATGTAGTATGTTTTGAACAGCCTTTGGAATATAAGTAACAAGAAGTTATTATTATTTGCTGCTATTGGAGTAGCTTCCCTTTTGGCTCAGTGGGTAAAGAATCTGTCCACGATGCAGGAGACCTAGGTTTGATCCCTGGGTTGGGAAGAAGCCCTGGAGAAGGAAAAGGCTACCTACTCCAGTATTCTGGCCTGGATAATTCCATGGACTATATAGTCCATGGGGTCACATAGAGTTGGACATTACTGAGTGACTCTCACATTGGAGTAGCTACATAACAATAAAATAAACCTAATTAGAATAAAATATAATTTTATAATAATAAAATGTTAACAGTTTGGAAATTGAGGAAATTACTGAACAATTGAAAAAATCGTTTAATTTTTTTTAGCAAATATTTATTATGTATCTACCATCTGTCACTGCAGACACTCTGCTAGTAAGGGTTAATATATTGTAAAATGTTATCCACGAAAGTTATAAAATCATGCCTGATAAATCTTTCACAGAAACTGTTGAAGTGGCAAATATTTAGTCTTTCCAAAACAGGATTGATTTTAATTTCGCTTTTATCTTCCAGAAGACGAGTCATGTGATATTCAACTTTATATTAATAAATATTCCATGTATGTTGTATCATCAGGGGACCCATTTGAACTGGAATGCCCGATGAAATATTGTGCTAATAGACCTACTATGACCTGGTGCAAGCTTGAAGGAAACAATTATTCACACCTTGGGGATAGACTTCAGGGGTCTATGGGTTGGGAAGAAAGGAAGCTTATTTCAGTTTTTATTTTGCATTTTAATTAAGTGCTTGCTAGTGACAGTGGGTCATACCATTGTTTTGTGAACTTTTCATCTGGATTCATTGAAAGCCACTCAGTTACCATTAATGTGACAGTGAGTTCTAAATATCAAGACTATCTAATTTTTTTTTGTCATGTTTTAAGAAAAAGAGCTGGAGAAGGAAATGGTAACCCACTCCAGTACTCTTTCCTGGAAAATCCCATGGACAGAGGAGCCTGATAGGCTACAGTCCATGGTGTCGCAAAGAGTTGGACAGGCTTGAGTGACTTCACTTTCACCTTCAAGAAAAAGAGGACTCAGATTCTCAAGTGATTATGTTAGACAATGGCCTCATGTAAAATCACAGATTGTAATGTGTGGTCACATACGTGTCTGTGTGTTTTGGAGTGAGACAGTGAAGAGTAGAGAAAAATATGTAATAAAATCATTGGTTTTGCCTCTAGGGGATATAACATTTATTTGATAAGTCAAAAATTTTATCACAGAATCATGAGAAAAAATTGCAAAGTGAATATCAAATTTAATAGTAGACAGCTTTTTACTTTTTCCCCTTTAAATTTTTTTCTTATATTTATCAGTACTTGACTTTTTGATAATAAATCCTTGATGTATTTGTGTTTGTGTTGCTCAGACATTTACATCCTTATTAATAGTTCACAGTTTGCACAGAGGGCAATCAGCACACAAATAATCTGACTCCTTGATGAGTTTTGAGAATAGTCATGGGTTTTTCTGCCTCCCAATCCCTCCTCAGAGACCCTCAATAGGCTCAACAACAGAGGAAGGACAGGTCATGTTGGGCCAAACTATGTTGAATGAAACATGGAAAACAAATACAGAAAAACAGAAGAGAGTAAAAAATAGTTGGTTTATGAAAATTCCACAGCTAACATCATTGGTCTTCCCACATAACTCAGTTGGAAAAGCATCTCCCTGCAATGCGGGAGACCTGGGTTCAATTCCTGGGTTAGGAAGTTCCCCTGGAGAAGGACCCCAATATTCTTGCCTGGAGAATCTCAAGGACAGAGGAGCCCAATATCATACTCAATGATAAAAAATTGAAAGCTTTCCCCTCAAGAACAGAAACAAGACAAAGATGTCTACTTCCAGGGTCCAGCCTCAGCAGGATCCAAGGGTACCCTCAGGATGAACGGCGTTGGAGAGAGAGAGAGAGAGAGAGAGAAGACTGGGGTGTGCAGCAAGGTCTGATGGTGCTTTATTTTTTTACCATAGCTTTTATACCCTAAGTTAGTACATTTCTAAGGACAAGATAAGCACACAGAGTTAGTTTAGCATTACATCAGCTTGTCCTTCATGAAACCAGGGTGTTTTCTGCATACTTCTTTGTTTATGAGGGTCTTGTACATTATCTTCTGGCCTTGGGGCCTATTGACATTTTATGACCTAGGTGAATGCAAAGCTGTTTTCCGTAATCTGTTCTTTATTGTTCCATTTTGCCTTGAACCTAACAGAAAACAGAAAAGTTGCAGTCTCATGGTACAGCAGGTTGCAACATAGTAGAAATACAATCCTGTTAACACAAACATCAGTCCTTTTGCAGAAGTTATCAGTTAAATTTATCTAATAGGGTTACCACACAAAGACTCTGCAGCTCCGGTGAGGCAGCCCCTGTTTAGCATTCCTGGTTAAAATTAACAATTCTAAACTCTTATTTTTCTAAATCTTTAACTATAACCACTTTTAGAATAATATTTTTTTGTGTTCTCTAATAGGACTTCCTCACCCCCCGAAGGGCTCTGTGCCTATTAGGGCCTTTTGTGTAATCAAGTTCTTTATGCTGTTTGTGATTAAGATGTTGTGAGCAGTCATGTGCATTAGTACGCATTTGCCAAGCAGGCTAGAATGCCAGCAAAGGGGTCTAAATTGAAACACTCCTTTCATCCTGGATAATCTTATAGGATACCACCATTCGGGGGACATATTTATTAAAGTTCTAAGTTGATTCTGTTTGGAGAGAGATCGGGGAAGGCCTTCTACCTGTGTCAGAGAAATTAGGAAGTAGTTTAATATAGCAAGCATCAGAAAGACAGATATCATCTTTAAAGTGAGTGCTGGGGCAGCTTTTCGAAATCCCTAAAGTCCTGATCTGCCTTGCTTGTCAGGCCTTCTTCTCATGACCTTGTCATGGGTGGGATCTCGTGTGCTGGCTCCCAGCAGTCTAATTTTGCCATTTCTATTCAACATTGAACTGGAGGATCTAGTCAGAGCATGTAGGTAAGAAAAATAGAAGATATCTATTAATAACTTGGAAAGGAAGAAGTGAAACTCTCTTTTCACAGATGATGTGATTTTAAATATTAGAAAATCCTTAAAAATCTGCACAAACCATTATACTAGATCCAATAAAAGAATTCAATAAATTTGTATTATCAACACAGACAGTGACAGATTTACTTCTTCCTTTCCAATCTGAATTCCTTTTATTTTTTTTTTCTGTCTGATGCTATGGTTAGGACTTCCAATAGTGCATTGGATAAAATTGGTGAGAATTGGCATCCTTGTCTTGTTTCTGATCTTAGAGGAAATGTTTTTAGCTTTCCCCACATTGAATACGTTGTTAGCCGTGGGCTTGTCATATATAACCTTTATTATGTTGTGGTGTATTTCCTCTGTACTCACTTTGCAGACAGTTTTTATCATGAATGAACATTGAATTTTATAAAAGCTTTTCCTGTACCTATTGAAATGAGCATATGGTTTTTATTCTTCAATTTGTTAATGTGGTATATCATATTGACTGATTTGCAGATATTGAACCATCCTTGCATCCATGGGATAAATCCCACTTGGTCATGGTATATGATCCTTTTAATGTGTTATTGGTTTCAGTTTGCTATTATTTTTGTGAGGATTTTTCCATCTATGTTTATCATTTATGTTAGCCTGTAGTTTTCTCTTTTTTAATGATATCTTTGTTTTCTTTGTATTAGGATCACTCACCATGATTTTTGCATGTATGTCCATTAAGAATATTGCCCTAAAATACTCTTTTCTTGTAGTTTTCTTATTTTTCTATCAGGATATTACTGGCCTGGTAAAATGAGTTCAGAAGCTTTTTTTCCTTGGCGATTTTTGGGAATAGTTTGAGAAGAATAGATGTTAAATCAGAGCTGAAATTAAGATCTACAATCTGTCTCCATTGAGGCCTAACTTCAGAGGGAAGGGAAGCAGCATTCCCTCCTAAACTGTATGTCCCAAGGGGATGACTGGAGAAGAGTGTAAAGGGTGAAGTAGTGAGAGGAAACATCTAAGAGCAGTGTAGGAGACATGAAGGGCATTTTAAGTTCCCTCTCAAGATTTCTATTCTTCTAATTTCCTACTCTCTCACCTTCTTATCATTCCCTTTCTTATCACATTGATGATTCATGCTCCTGAGCCCATTAGAAATTCTCCAAGACTTTGCTTTGACTTTATACTCTTGTCTGTCAACAGCCTTCCACTCCATAATTGGCTCCCTCATGGAGCTTCATGATCAACTCAGACCTTCACTATCTTCCTTCTAAATATTCCAATTAATTGTATGAACTGCTTGTTTTTTAATTGTCTCCACTTTTGGTTCATTTCAGCCAAAAATCTTCCTGACATACTTAATTTGCCTAATAGGCTTCCTTCATAATGCCACTTTTTAGTTGATCCCCTGCAGGGCATTCTCAGTGCTTACACTATTAGGCTGACACCATCTACCTACACCTATCAAAATTCTACCTCTCCTGTCAAGCCCAACACATTTTCTAATTCTTTATGAAGCTGTCTATGTTTATCCTAGAGAAAGTGACTTCTCTTTCCTAGTAATTTTTGTGTCATTTAAGGTCTTTGCCTCTCATTTGTCACAGATTTCCTTGTACCACAGATACGTAGGGAAATGTCTTTTATCCCATGAAGGGTTATGATACACTGGCAAGCAGGAACTATGTCATACTTCTTTGGATCATCCTTGCTTCATTTACAATAGTCAAATAACTCATTTAGAAATTGTCTTTGAGCAGGGTGTGGATTTTCCTTCTGTGAAGTGATTAAAACAAACATAACAAGAAGAGTGTCAAAGAAAAATTATTTTCTTTCTGTATCAGTGAATACTCAATGAACTGAGCATGATGTAAGGAGAAAAATATACTCTGAAATTATATTTCAGGACCATGCTTTTGGTAAATAAATTTTGGAGCTATGATATAAAATCTTTCATTTTTCCCCTTGAAATATCTTTCTTACAGAGTATTGGAACTTTTCCTGTTTTTGTGCCTGACCCTGCTTTGCTTTTTATGTTCAAGTTAAAAATCAGTGGGTTGCCTTTTGGCTCAGATGGTAGAGTCTGCCTACAGTGCAGGAGACTCAGGTGTGATCCCTGGGTCGATTGGCCCTTGTGAAAGCAGGATGTGACAGAGTCCATGTTTGGATGCTGGTGGGAAAGCAATTATCTCCCAGAAGGAAGAAAAGCAGTTTGCAAAGACTCAGGAGAAAAGTCAACAGAACAGTCACTGAAACATACACTGGCCTGGCAACTCTGTTCTCTCCAATCTGCCTTAGGTTAATCAATCCCTGATTAGGAGCTTCACAAAGGCAGATGGCGATGATTTTAGCAGGGCAGTGAGGGTGTTAGAGTGGGCAGAAGGTGAGAAGCACAATCTTTTTTTCAGAATTAATTCCCACCACATCATCAAAAGTCTTCTTTCCTCGTGGCATTCTATACTCTCTTGAAGCACCTGCTGAATGTATATCTTGTTATTCCAATTGCTAAAAGGAGTCCTATAGGCTGAATTGTTTCCTTATACTTAAGGAGGTGGAAAGAGGGAGTCAAAGCAGACAGAGGAAGGTTTGGTTGTATTTATACAGTCTCTCTTTAAAAAAAAAAAAACCAAACTTTTTATTTTGTATTGGAGTATAGCCGATTAACAATATTATGATAGTTTTAGGTGAACAGCAAAGGGACTGAGCCACACATATACATGTATCCATTCTCCCTCAAACTCCCCTCACATCCAGGCTGCCACATAACATTGAGCAGAGTTCCATGTGCTGTACACATTTTGGTTTTCCATTTTAAGTGTAGCAGTGTTTTACAGTTTTTCTTTGAAATAACCCCAAGGTTATTTATTAAAATAAACCCAAGGACTTTGTCTATGAACTTGAAGTGATGATCTACACATTTCCAAACTACCTTTCAGCTGAATTATTGAATTATCTGTTAGTATGTAAATAGAGATGTCTTCTCGGAGGCTAGCTCTGATTTTGAAGAAACCTGAGTAGAGCCTTCGTTGTTTTCACAACCAATTTAAATTCTTTATCTTGTTTTTCTATTTCAGAATGGACTCAAAATAATTCAGAACATCCTCTTCTAAGTATCAAACTTGCCAAATAAAATCAAGGAAGTAGATTGTTATGTGGTTGGAAAGTAATACAGGTTGCATCTTCTTCATTGAGTGGATTTGTTTGTACTAACTTATCTGTTGTGGGAAACAGTCCTGGGCTCCTATCCATTCCCTTACCCCAGACAGCTAAATTTGTCACTGTTCATAATAAGTTGGCTGCTCGCCCAAACTAAATAGCTGCTGCCACATGAACAATACAGTATTTGTTACCACTCAATTACCAAACTACTTCACGCCCAGATCCAGTAGCTCCTGACCACATTTACCCCAAAACCAAGGATATGAGGAAGGAATGTATAACTAGGTTAATATATCTAGAAAAACACCTTCCTGAACAAACAAAATTGAGCACAAGTACAAAGTTAAAAGATTTATTATGAATTCTGATATTTTCTATTTTGTTATCTTTCACTTTTTGACTTCATTTGTTATCTGTTATGTTGTTGCATGACTCACTAGTAAGTTACAACCTATCATGGAAAAACAGGGCCTTAATGCACATATTCTGTGTGTGTGTGTGTGTGTGTGTGTGTGTGTGTTAGTCGCTCAGTCGTGTCCGAGTCTTTGTGACCTCATGGATTGTAGCCCACCAGGCTCCTCTGTTCATGGGATTCTCCAGGCAAGAGTACTGGAGTGGGTTGCCATTTCCTTCTCCATAATGCACATTAATATTGATCAATAATAATGGGAAACAGTTGTATGCCCATAGAAGCATATCTGGAGATACCAAAGATATTTGAAGATAATAAAAGTATTTGGAAATATCAGGGTTAATGAGACAACACAAAGCATTGTGTTAAAGGAACTTCAATTTTGTTTCAAAAACATGTTGGCTTGAGTCCTGGCAACTGCCATTTACTAGCTGTTGGATTTCTGGCAAGTCTTGGAACAATTACTCTTCTCAGAACAAGTGACTGATTAAAAAAAAAAAGTACTCCTTACTTTTCTTCTCCTCTGTTTGCTGTTCTCTGTTTATTTTTCTTAAGTGATCATTATGAAAATTAAATAAGACATTGTAAATGAAAGGGCATGGTGAGATACTATCTGAGAGCTGTTATGGATAGTGTGTTACAGATTAGCCCTAGCAGAATTGAAAGATAAATTATAGCCACTCACAAACACTCAGCATTAAAGCAAGAGGTGGGGGAGAGGACTAAGTCCTGGGGTTCTTGGGAGAAACCTTTTAAAAGAGAAATAGAGGCATCAGCTAGAACTGCATTCACGTTCTGACAGTTCAGAGGGTGTTACTTCATTTGTCTCATATTTTCTAACCGTCTTGAGGATTAATGAAAATTTCAGATACAAAGAGTGCCTCAAGACCACTCGCCAAGGAAGAGATGGTAGACCGACAATGGATCCTTTATAGTTTGCTTCCTTTGGGGGCTTTACCTTTACTTATTACCTGTTTCTACCTATTCTGCTGCCTTAGAAGGCACCTAGGTGAGATCCATCTCCTCTCTGCTGCTCTGTGCCACACATTTGGGGTTCATTTACAATGGCTGATAGATTTTTAGTTAGTTTCTGGTGTTTTTTTCCCCACCATATTCTAGTATAAACCATGAACAATGATTTCCTGGGGGAACAACTCATCTTTCCACCAGAAAGCCAAATGGATGAATTCAGATCTCCTCTAGTCTTGAAAAGGCATGCTCACTACAGCAAAGGCTTGTGGTGAGAAGTAATATTGCTGGGACTTAGTCATTCTACTTGGGTCCATCATAGAAGGAACTCCTCTAACATTCAGGGTGTTGAAAAGGAGGTTGAAATAATTTCACAGATCAACATGTCTGCATTGAATTAGTTTGTCTGGTCCTGTTTTCCACACTCATATCACATCATTCCAGTCATCCACACCCCTGTCTAAATGAAGACCCAATGTCCCCAGAGAAAATTCTTACGTCTGTGCTTAGTGTCGCCATCATAAACAGATGCTTGAACTGAATCCCCACCCAACAATAATGTATTTGAAAAATGTGGTTATGACTATGATCAGAGAGGTGATATTTTGAAAACAATTACTTTCTATTTCTGTAAGAATTCACTTAAGGTCATCAGTGAACACTTCAACACATAAGAGAGAGGGGTATGATGAATTCTGGTCTAGCTGGAGTCCAAACCAGGTCAGTCCTCTTTCTCTTTCCTTTTCCCCCTCAGTCAACTTGTCTAATTCCTTTTTCCACAGCAGCAGCCACAGTGTAGCTATAGAAACTAAGCTGGACAGAACAATCATTATTTCTGCCACAAGAGAAAGGCTTGTCTGAACAAAAGTGCTCTTGGTGTTTTGTGGTGAGGACTTCTGGAGCCTAGAACCTTCTCAGGATGCTGAGAGACTCCTCTGTGACTCCAACTCCACTTCTTCAACACCAAGGCTCTTTCAATGGTCCCCCCTCCAGTTTCCACCACCTTTCTTGAGGTATCTGGAGCTTCAGGAAAAAAAAGCAAGGATAAATCTTTTGATTTACCACATCCAAAGTGAACTAGGCCAGAGGAGATCCCAGCTATGTAGGTGACAGGACAGCTGTGAGTGTGGCATTACATACAGAATGTACCCAGAAAAAGGATTCCCAGGGTTTTAAAGTGCCAGGCTAGGTCTTGTGCCCTCCTCTTGGCTATGCCATAGGCTGTTCTGGACAAAATGCACAGCACGAATTCTCACAAACAGAGGTTTGTGTGCCATGATGGACATAGCAAATAAAGAAGCCCAAACTAATAATAACACTGTGGATGGTGTGCACGTGGGTGAGGTGGGGAGGCATCCCCACCTCTGGGACTGAGTTTCAACCTAGCAATCTGATTCTAGAACCCCTATTCTTAAATGACCCTAACGTACGAGGAATTGAGGAAGAATTTTATTTTGTGCTGTTCTTTACCTCTTTTGGTTTTTTATTTTATTTTTCTTTTTGAATTGCAGGGAGACAAAAGAAACTTTCTAATTCAACAGGAAGGGATACTAACCTGGTGTGTTTGATGGTATATAACACAACCTGTGTTATACCATTCTAATATTTATATATTTTTTTAACATTTAATTGAGTCTATGTAACACCATGTGCCAAGAACTGTTCTAAATGCTATATGTATTTACTTACTTTTAAAATGTGTTTATTTTCCACTTACTTTAGTCTGTAGCAAAGATTCTTCCAGATTGTTGTTTAGTTGCTAAATCATGTCCAACTCTTTTGCGACCTCATGGACTGTAGCCCACCAGGCTCCTTTCCCCATAGGACTTCCTAGGCAAGAATACTGAGTGGGTTGTCACTTCCTTCTCTAAGGGATCTTCCAGACCAAGAGATTGAACCTGTGTCTCCTGCATTGGCAGGCAAATTCTTTACCACTGAGCCACCTGGGAAGCTCTTCCTTGGGATTAGCAAATCTCATAAATGAGTCTTATTAGGCAAAGAAGGCAGTGTAGAATCTAAGCAAAAAAGTCAGAGGCTGAACCATACAATGTTGACTCTGTTCTCAATCTGGTATGTGACTTTAGGCTATTGATTTATTCTCACAAAAATGCCTTAAGTGTTTCCAGAAGGGTTGTTGTTCAATCACTAAGTTGTGTCAGTCTCTCTGTGACCTCATGAACTGCAGCATTCCAGGCTTCCCTGCCCTTCACTATCTCCTGCAAGTGGGAGTAAATAAAGAATCATAAATAACCTCATAAAATCAAGTATGATTTCTTAATGAATCATACCAGCAGATAAAGAAGCATGATCACAGGTCTAGTTATTATGCAAAAGTCGCTCATAATGTGTGTGGGCTCATTAAGGAGGAGATCTCATAGACAAAGCAAAGTGTTCTTTGGAAGCAGTGCAGTTTTCCCACAAGTTCTTGGAATACCAGTTTAGACCTTTCTTTTGGGTTCAATGTTCTGTAAACACTGGAACTCAAAATAGAATGCAAAATGAAGCAACATATTTCTGGAAAAAAATTTTATATAGCTCTGATTAAAAACAAATAGTTATAAACAAGGTACCACGAAAAGAACTTGTGTGGGTGTGGGTGTTTCCATTAGGAGTAGTAATAAAGGTGCATTCAACATCTTAAAATTTCCAGAAATGCCAGAGGCAGATATAACCAATAGTTCTACACATAATATTAAATGGTACTCAGCATTCCCCACCAGGTAGCTTAATATTAAATAAAAGTAAATAAATTCAAATTAAGAAACATATGAAATCTTTAGTATCATTGTGTTGAGTACTAAGGTTTTGTTTCTTCGCATAGGGAAGTTTTCTTAAATGTGATTTCCTTTCTTTCTATAATGAAAAACAACAAACTGCACTCTGTTACAATGAGCCCTAAAAGCTATGACAGCATTTAAAACAATGATCTAGGGGCTTCCCTGGTTCCTTAACCAGTCCAGTGGTTAAGACTCCAAACTTCCACTGCAGGGGCCTTGGGTTTTATTCCTGGTCAGGGAACTAAGATCAATCATGCTTTGGCAAGGTAAAAACAAAAATCTAAATAATTTACTGGGCACGTAAAGCCCAGGTTGGTTAAAATATAGTTACATTTCTTTCTGTGTAAACTGGATGAATTATTTATGATTTGCAGTTGGATTCAAGAGGGAGGTTGTCTATGTGTACAATTATTGGGGAATTTTTTTTTCTGATCTGTATGTATTTCATTGGAATTCAGAATTTTGCCCCATTTGAGTTGTCAAACATTTCAAAAAATAATGAAAGAGATACTGTACTAGATCTTTGAGACTCAAAATTTGTTAAGAGGGAACTTGTATGTGAACCAGTGGAATATAAATCCAAAGTAGAGAAAAGATAATATAAAACATACTTTTAAAGGTCAAACTTTTAATCCTATTCCAGGATGTCCTTTGAGGGTATGAAAGTACTTGTATAGTATAAATAAGTGAATTGCATATTTTCTAAAGTGCTTTACAAACAGTGGAGTGCTATACAAATATAGAATAAGACAGCTGCTTCAGTTTTGCCATCTCTACCCACCACACCATGGTGCACCAGCCTTGTGGCACCCACCCACTTTGATCAGGTGCCACAGAATAGGTTCAGCAACCATGTTTTCTTTTACATAATTTACTCTGACAAAGTTTTCCACGGAAACCAGTCACCTTTTGGGATGGGAAGCAGGTAATTGAGTTGACAGACTACATAGATTGAAAAGTACAACAGAGACCTTACTGATCTGTTAAAGATTTATGACTAGTTATGAAAGGGTAATAGGCAGGAAGGCCAGGGGTCTCCAAACAGAGGAAATAGGCTGCAAGTGTCAGACATTTTTTTAATCTTGCTCTTAAGTGGCAGAAGGAAACAAACTAGTGATATATTTTCCCCCTTCTCTATACAAATTTAAAAAGAGGTTTCTCTTAAAATACTATGTTGCCATAATGACACCTGGTTCCAATTTTGAGCTAACCCATACATTTTTCTAACGGAAATGTTTGTCTTAAGCTTTATTATGTACTATGCATTTACCCAAGACTCTGTCTTCAAGTCGGTTCACCTTAAGGTTCAGAACTGACTTGACAAACCAGTATGCTATCCTCATACATTGTTCTCCTAATCCATGTAAACAAAACTATTTGTATGGTAATCTGCCTTTCTTCAAGATTCAAGTCAATCGTTTTATGGATGACTCCCCTGGTGCCAAGATTATCTCAAAATGCATCTTGTGGATGAGGGACCTGGTGCCATTCTCTGAGTTTTGAGACATTCCTTTCTTCTATTAACAGACTGCTAGTAAGTATATAACATCCAGCTAAAGACTAGCAGGCAGGTATTCTTTCTGCCCCCTTCTGATGTCTATGTCAGAAGCTTTCTCTATCTCTTTTGTATTTTAATAAAACTTTATTACACAAAATCTCTGAGCCATCAAGTCTTGTCTCTGGCCCCGGATTGAATTCTTCTCCTCCGGAGGCCAAGAATCCTGGTGTGATTTGTGGTTCAGCAACAACCTTTCAGTTATTAGGTCACATGACAGTCTTCTTCTCCAGAGCTCCTCCAGAGACGTTAGTAGGGCTTCTTTGAGACACTTTCCATCTGAGTCAAGAGACAATGAAGCTTCCATGAATCTTGCTTCTTTCAATCATTCAGACTCGGTGCTATTTCCTAGGCAGATAGGCCATCGGAGAGAGGCAGTATACTCAACAGTTAACACTTCATTTGTCAGAACAGAGTTAGACATGTTTGCATGGGGTGTGTGTGTGTGTGTGTGTGTGTGTGTGTTAGTTACTCAGTTAAGCCCAACTCTCTGAGATCCCGTGGACTATAGCCAGTCAAACTCTTCTGTCCATGGAATTCTCCAGGCAAGAATACTGGAGTGGGTGGCCATTCCCTTCTCCAGGGATCAAACCAGGCTTCCCTACATTGCACACAGTTTCTTTACCACTGAGCCACCAGTATAGAACTCTGTATACATCACAATGTGGGTGACAAAAGAGCAGGTAAGGCATATAGGTTATCAGGTTAGGCATATCAGGTTATGGACCTGATACCTCAAAGAAATTAGGCCAAACCTCAAGAACATAAATTGACTGGTAAAATTGGTATTTAGAAAATTGAAATAACAAATCTTAGCATTAACATAGTATCTTCATTTTTTACCAGCTGGGTCCCTTGTATAGGTAGAAATAGCTAACAAATAATTGAAAAAAGTTTTTTAAAAAAGCAAGTTTAAGTACTTTTACTTTACATAAGTTCACCTCTTTCTTGAGAACTTTAAGATATTTGACTCAATTTGGAAGTGTAAGAGTATCTTTGTGGTAGAAACAACAACTGGAATATTTTTGGAACTATTTTTAAGCTTTGTCCACCCACATCAAACTGACAGCAACTTCCAGTCTCAGGTTTCATGTCATAGTAATGTATCTTGGATAATATTTATTCTTCATAGTATTTATTCTTTTTGTCCCTTAGAGAACAACTGTTCTGCTTTATCTTTAATTGCTTTATCCTAAACTGTGTTAATGCTATACATCATATTACAAATCTCCTGATGTTCTGAAGGGATATTTTATGCGTTTCTCATTAATCTGGTGTGTGGTTTCAATTTCAAAGATGGGTCAAAAGGGGTTCTGTGAACTAAAAAATGACCATAAATAAAAGGGAGCTGAATCCCAGTGCTCTGTGACAACCTAAAAGGTTGGGATGGGGTGGGAGATGGGAGGGAGGTTCAAGAGGGTTGGGACATATATATATATATATATATATATATCTATGGCTGACTCATGTTGATGTATGGCAGAAACCTTCACAATATTACAAAGCAATTATCCTCCAATTAAAAATAAATGACTTTTTTAAAAAAGCACAAAACAACTCTTTCAGAAGAACATAGTGGTCTTTAAGCCTTTCACCCCTAATAAATGAGAATTTGCTTTAAGGAGTAGATGTCAACACCTGCAATGAAAAATAGATTATTTCTCTCCATGTATAACCACTCAATTTAGCCTACACTCATAGTTTCCTAGTGGATACACACTATCACATCCTTAAGTTGTAATTAAAGAAATCTTTTTTTTTCTCTTTTAGGTTGATGTTCCCCAGTTCTTTAGGAGTGAGCAAACTGAAGGAAACATCATGGAAAGTTCCCAAACATTGCATTCAGAAACTGGAATTTATGATAATGACCCCTGGTTCAGGGTCTGGAGAGAGTCTGGGGTTTATTTTAACTCAAGTCTGAAGGAAAACAAACAGGGCATTGTTTATACTTCCCTGAACCATTCGGTCATTGGAATGAACCCAAGACAGGCAAGAAATGTGCAAGAAGCACCTAGGGAATATGCAACCATATGTGTGAGGTGTTAAATCTGGTCCTGATCTCCCACCAGTGATCAGCAACTGATTTGTTAGTCAGCACCACCACTGAAGACCAACAGAAAGTCAAACAATGGTCCTTGGCTTGAGAAATTATAGTTTCAGGAGGTTCACATTGGTGCTTGGGCCTTAAGCATCCATAGGACAAATGACTAAAATTTCTCCCAGAAACTTCTTTGGGAGCTTTTTATGTTATAGCCTTGGGCAGTAAAATCTTCTTTCCAAAATCAAATGATGTCATGCATAGAAGAGTAGTAGCATTTTTATTTTTTTATTTATTTTTTTATTTTTTTTAGTTGGAGGCCAATTACTTTAAAATATTGTAGTGGTTCTTGTCATACATTGACATGAATCAGCCATGGATATACATGTATTCCCCACCCCGATTCCCCCTCCCACCTCCCTCTCCACCCGATCCCTCTGGGTTTTCCCAGTGCACCAGGTCCGAGCACTTGTCTCATGCATCCAACCTGGGCTGGTGATCTGTTTCACCCTAGATAATATACATGTTTCGATGAAGGGTTTCCTGGTGATTGGAAACTTCCTCTATTAAGACTCCCTTCCCGGGATGGGTCTCCGTCCCTAGCTCTTTTGTCTCCCTTTTTATCTTTTATATTTTGTCCTACCTCCCTTCGAAGACAATGGGTTGCTTTTCTGGGCGCCTGATGTCCACTGCTAGCGATCAGAAGTTGTTGTTTTGTGAACTTTGTTCAGCGTTCAGTTGTTCTTTCGATGAATTTGTAGGAGAGAAAGTGGTCTCCCCATCCTATTCCTCCACCATCTTGGCTCCTCCCCTCTGCCCTGATAATTTGAGGATGGGTCCCATCCAGTCAGTTGAAGACATTAATCAAATAGACTGACCGCCCTAGAAGAAGGATTCCAATACCAGATGGCCTTTGGACAAAACTGCAGTGTCAATTCTGGGTCTGCAGCCTGCCAACTCACCCTGCAGATTTTGGACTAGTCAGCCTCCACAATCATGTCAGCCTATTCCATCTCCCTCTCTCTCCGTATATATATGTGTGTGTGTGTTTATATATAGTTATAGATATACAGATATATGATTTATAAATATATGTGGATATATGTATGGCTTCCCAGGTGGCTCAGTGGTAAAGAACACACCTGCCAATGCAGGAGATGCAGGAGATTCAAGTTTGATCCCTGGGTCAGGAAAATCCCCAGGAGGAGGAAATGGCAATGCATTCCAGTATTCTTGCCTAGAAAATCCCATGGACAAAGGAGCCTAGTGGGCTACAGTCCATAGAATTGCAAAGTGTCAGACATTATTGAGTGACTGAGCATGCACATGTAGATATATATATATCTTCTATTGGTCTGTTTCTCTGGTGAACACTGAATAATGCAGGCAAATTTCCAAGAATAAATTACTTTTGCATTTTAATAGAGCTTCTGCTTCACTGGAGGAAAAACTTATTAATAGTTTATTGTTAAAAAGAACACTCAATATTGTTACTTAATTTCTGTTGCTCAACAATTAAAATCCTTGATTTTTTAGGTCTGCTCAACTATAATGCAGTGTCAATAACCCTAAAAGCTTTTCTGTCATAATTATATAAATTATATTTTTTCATTCTTTTCTATTTAAAGAAGAAATAAATTGCTATTTATATTTCCTAAGTATTTATTTTTGCCTGGACTGAGTCTCATTGACTTCTTATTTCCAGCTTTACCCTTTTCCCTTTGCATTTGAGAATCAAACCATCCCAAGAACTCAACTTTGCCCTAATAATTTTTAAAAGTTATTTATTTGGCTGCACTGGGTTTTAGTAGCAACACTCAAGATCTTCAGTTTTCATTGCAACATTTGGACTTAGTTGTAGCATGTGGAATCTTAGTTTCCTGACCTGCTAAGTTTTCTGACTTAGTTCCCTGAGCAAACCTGGACCCCTTGCATTGAGAGTCTTAGCCACTGGACCACAAGGGAAGTCCTGACCAAACAATCTTGAGGAAGTTCAAATAGGATAAACCACAAAAACTGAAACTGCCTCCATGAAGAGTGGTGCATAGTTACTAAAAGAGAAGCAATCACTCCCTGAGAAACCTATTGAACTGTGGGATCCTACACACATCCCCATAGTAACGATGAGTCTTTGCCAGGGGAACTAAGGATCCTTAGAACATTTCCTCAGTATTCCATTTATCTCTTCATTTATGCAACAAAAGTATACTGACTTTCACCTGGGAACTGGGAATAAAGTAGGAAGACGTGTAAGACATACCACCTACCTTTAAGGAGATTAAAGACTTAGAGAGAGGAGAGATATGTAGACAAATTAGTACAGAGCCTTAGAGGTACAGTGATGGAAGTACTTGTAATATATAATACATGTGTATATTGGAGATCAGTGAAATGCTGACCCCAGATTTTATTCCTGTGTCTAGTGCCTGTGCCTTTATACCTGTGCCTATAGATTTAACTCTGTTTAGGCACAGGTAATGATTATTCAAAAGGAATTGCTGCTAAAAAAATTCAAATAATATGTTTCCTGTGACTTTTTTTGCTACTAAAACTTTAAAAATTCTGTTCTGACTGAGCACCAGTACTTACCCTTACTAAATCTGTGTGACACACTCATCTGAAAAGACTCAGACTGCAGTCTATTTCATTTTACAAAGTACGTCATCAACTTTTCTCATGTTATATACCCATCACCTCATCGACATTTATAGACTATTTTCTGTTTTGTTTTTAATACATTTTTAGGATTTTCAAGCCAATTATATGTGAGAAATTATCAGAATAGAGACGGTGTTACCACCCCTCCCAAATTGCCTCTGCCAGCAGCTTCATCCCAGGCTGTTTTAAGCATGGCCTGCTAATGGCTCACAGCTGCCTACCCGCCCACTTCCTTGGACAACTGCCCTCAGATGAATGCCTGCCACCTGTTGGGGAGACTACCAGCTTCCAGCTTCTCTCCACCACTGCCTACAGCCAATGATGGACTGACTAGTCAACACTGGATATGATAGAACCACCCCTTATGTCAACAGGGAACAGCTCTGTGGTGCATTTATGTTCCTGTGCACCCCCACCCCCAGAAATCCAGCCACCCGAAGTTCTGTTCACCTCTTTCCACTTCCCTCTTCTGCTTCACTCTCCTCTTAAAGATTCATCCTGAAGCACACTCCCTCAATAAAACTTGGGCATAAGAATCCCTTTCTTAGGCCCAATATTAGGAAATCCAACCTAACCTGGTCAATCTCATCATTGATGGCTATGTTTTATCTTATACAGTAGCAGCCTATGGGAGTGGGGGGGGGGCGGTGGAGAGAGCAGCTCATGATTTCAGTTTAGGAAGGAAATGATCAAGCAGTGGAGCTATAAACTATATTCTCTTTTTACTGGTGGACCCCTAAGAAAGATGATAGGCACAACAATCCCTCTGATAGTCATAGGAGACAGAGAAGGTGCACTAAAGATCCTGAAGATAAAACTGGGAGGGTATAAAGGTGTCACAGATGGAGGGAACCAGGGCAGGGGGGAAGTTGCACAATGACTGGAGAGATTATTTGGTGGTTATCACCCTAACCTGAGTGCCTCAATTCAACCATTGGCCATGCTGCATAGGAACCACTGGAATTATCTTAGCTTCCTAGTAAATATTAAGTAACACAGAATTGCAGGAAGCAAGAGACAACATCTCTGATAAAGAAAATAACTGAGGAGGCAGTTTTAATTTCTACTAACTCCCTTAAGAGTCCTGTCTGGCTTCAGAGCATAAGGCAGATGGTTCTTGAAGGTTAATAGTAGACTACGGAGAATTAAAAAACTGGTTTGTCTAATAGCTTTAGCAATGTCTAACGTGCTAAAGGCTATGTATAAAGGCTAAAGGAGATTATTGTGCCATTTTAGGCCTTGTTAATGATTTCTTTTCAGTCAATTTCTGAGTCCAGCCAAACAGTGGCATTCTCATGGAATGAAATCCAGGATGCATTTACTATTTTTGACACAAAAATATTTGAATTTGCTTACATATTGTCAGCCTAATAAGATAAGATTAGATTTGGTAGCCACTAAGAGAAAGTTCTGGAGAAGGAAATGGCAACCCACTCCAGTACTCTAGCCTGGAAAATCCCATGGATGGAGGAGCCTGGTAGGCCACAATGCAAGGGGTTGCAAAGAGTCGGATGTGACTAAGCAACTTCACTTCACTCACTTCATACTTTATCACTGGAGAAGGAAATGGAAACCCACTCCAGTATTCTTGCCTGGAGAATCCCACAGACAGGGGAGCCTGGCAGTCCATGGCCCATGGGGTCGCAGAGAGTTGGACACAACTGAAGTGACTGAGCAAGAGCAAGTTAGACCACCATCGGGCTTATCAGGTGGTTCAATGGATGAAGAATCTACCTGCAGTGAAGGAGACCCAGGTGACGCAGGTTCAATCCCTGGATCAGGAAGATCCCCTGGAGAAGGTCATAGCAACCGACTCCAATATTCTTGCCTGGAGAATCCCATGGAGAGAGGAGCATGGTAGGCTATAGTCCATAGGATGGCAGAGAGTTGGACATGACTGAGCAACTAAGCACAGCACAGGCAGTTGTTTGGATACTTACTGTGTGGCTGCAGTTAGTAGCCTTACTATGTGGTCAAGGCAGATGAAACATAGATGACCATAAGGAAAATCCCTGTATGAGGAACTTAGTTTTCAAATTCCCTGTAAAAACTTAGATGAAAAATTAAAATGACTCACTATGCCCAACAAAAACCCGTTGCTTGCTCACAAGGGGATTGGAAGACTAAGGTGATTGCCTTAATCATATCACTAGCTAGAAGTTATTACTACCTTGAAATGAATAGGTGTGAATGAACTCAGGCCATGTGTCAATGGACTTAAGGATTCCCTTTTTACCTGCTGACTAATGTGATAAGAAACTATGTCTACAAAAAAGAAATTCCTTGAAATGGCTCAAGTAAGATTTAGGTCAAAGGACCTCTACACAGCTGGCATGTGGATTGCATTCTACCATTACTGGTAGTCCTGGGGAGCTACAGTGGGTTTTAAATGGGGTTGAGACTATACTATAATAGGTTTGCTTATCTTGTAACAGAAGCAACTTTGGAGAATAAAATTAAAGTTCTGTAGGAACAAAATATCCATCAATTTAGCTCAGTTGGATATATTTCACATGTTTTTCTTCTACAGTGTACAGAAATGAACAAAGAAAAATA